ATGGGGCGTGGTAGGAGCATTGGTCAGAGGGGTTTGCACCTTGATGATACATTGGGGGGCATGCATCCTTAATTTGCTGACTCCGATATTTTGACATTTTTTTTTTTTTTTTTGTAAATTGTCTGGAATTGTCTGTCTATCTCCGAGCAATGACAATTGCAACGATAGCAATATGTCTGTCAAGCCCATCAACGCATCAAACCTCAAAATGCGAATACGAGGACCCTGAGTCCAATTGCCTTTTGCGGTCAATGCAACTCCTCTCCAAGAGTATCTGCAAAATCCCTTCTGGGGTAACTCCCTATCCCTGGAAATGCAAATCTGTGCCATGACTGGAAGACCCCTTTTTTGTGGAACTTACTCTGCCTGTCTAGACCATTTCGTGGTACCTGTATTTGTCTGGAGCTCTGACACCAGAGTCAGTAGCCCATGATCTCCCTAAATAACAGTCGGAGCGCTTATTGACTAATCCGTAGAAGGTCATGCAACAAACATAGCCACGGACTTGGACTCAGGGGTATATGCAAAAAAGTTTAATCATCCTCGGGAAGCTCAAACTCGTCGTTGGGTTCCTTGGGCTCTTGATTCTCAGACCATTGCGTGACATCGTCAATGTAGCTGAGAATGGTGGCCACAGACGTGGTGTCTTTTGAACATGTAAGAGGAAGAAACTGTACCATGCCAAAATCGTCCACAAGCTGTGCAATGCTCTTATTAAGACGAGCGAACCGAGGATTAAGCTGTTTGTCCGCGTCCTTCTCCAACACAAGCGGGTCTGGGTTCAAAAATTGTTTAAGCTGTTTCTTTGAGACTTCATCCTTGATGAGGTCGATCTTTGACAAGATATTGATGTGTGGCAATTCAAGCAAAATCATCGCCGACATTGCACTTAGAGCGCCACTGAAGAACTTGGATCTGTCAATGACAAATGGCGCTTCCAATAAGTATGTGGCACACAAATTGAAGTTCAATGTTGTCTGTAAATGACGCACAATCGTCGGCAAGACGGGCACATGCGTATAGAGCTCGATCTGACCGGGACAGTCAAAGATCAAGTACTCGTCGTTGTAATCTCCAATCTCCTCATCGAGCCAGTCCAAGTTATTTAAAAGATACTCGAAGCAAAACACCAACGCACCGTTAGGACCCATGCCCATTTCTTCCATGGCGTCATCCACGGAGATAAGGTCTCTGATATCGACCGTAAACTCGTATTCCGTGGGTTCTGCCGCAGGATCCAAATTCACTATATGGGCTCTTCTGCCAATTGATTGCATGTGGTAAATGATGGAATTGCAAAAAGTGGATTTTCCGGCGCCCGCAGGACCAAGTGCAAGAACTCCGATTCGGGACATGGTCAGGTTGTGGATTAATCTGTAGTTTTGTGGGGAATTGGAGATCTCAATGATGTATTATGTGATGGCTTGATGAGGTCGTGCGCGGTTCATAAGTGCACTAGCGGCACCAGCACAGGTCGTAGTCGTTTTCCATCTGTAAGCCAACGTCAATCTTGTACTTGGCAAAAACGTCCTGACACTGTTTTTTGAGCAGAGTTATGCTTTCTCCCCTGTAGACCTGTATGTGGATGTAGCCTTTAATCTGTTTTGAGTGGGATGGCCAGAAACGAACAGAAGTGAACGACTTTATGCCTTTGATGGTGGTGATGTCGTTCAAAGCATTTCTGACTGTTTGTTCTTTCTTTTCGCCAAGTTGGAGTAATAGTGATGAGCCTGTGGATTTGATGAGTGGCACAGCTGTAGAGAAGATCAATACAGCAATGATAATCGACGCCACAGGGTCGAAACCTTGCCATTTAAAGAGCGTCGTGAGAATTGTCGAAATAACCACTCCAACAGATCCCAACGTATCGGCAAGAATGTGAAGAAAAATTCCTCTCATATTGTCATTGACCTCTGGTTCGTCGTCTGCTTCTGCATGGCTGTGACCGTGGCTATGGGAGTGTGAATGAGAGTGTCCATGAGAATGTCCATGATCGTGGGAATGTCCTCCATGACTGTGGCCGTGATTGAAGGCAAAAATACCGACGATGTTCACCAAAAGACCAAGAATGGAGACGATAATAAGTTCTGTGGTTTGCTGGAGCGCCACAGGATGGAAGAGTCTGCCAATGGCTTCAAATATAATACTTCCACTGATACCCATGAGCAAAACGCCGTTGGTGAAACCCGCCAAAATCTCAAAATTCTGGAGTCCAAAAGGGTAGAGGCCGTTGGCGTTCACGGGGTTTTTCGAGAGCACTCCGGCTATCAAGCCCAATGCCAATGAGGCACAATCAAGCGCCATATGGAGAGAGTCGCTCAAAAGACCCAACGACTTCGATCTGAACGAGTACAAGAGCTGCACAAACATGAATGCCGTGTTGAGGAGAAGGAAATTGAAAATGGCACGGGTGTCGGAGTGGCTGAGGATCTCCGTGACAATGTGTGGTTGAGCTGTAGGAGTATCGGAAGGAAGAGCGGTGAATTCCTCCAGAAGATCGACTTTGATGCCCAATGGAAGCACCACCGACACGATAGCATCAAGAACGCCAAAGGGGCTCGTTCTAAGCACAAAAGTCTCCAAAGAGTAGGTGAAAACGGACACAACCACCATATTTGTAGGAGAACGCAACTTGGCCTCTGGAAGCAGCACCAAAAGCAAGCCGCCGGCGGCCAAGTTCATCAACAAAAACAAGTAGTTGAGCTGGGTGCCGTAGAGCACCAAAATGGACACGCCCGTGGCCGCAGCAGCACCAAAAAGCACCGCATAGTGCTTTGCAAAAGGATTGAAGTGTCTGAGCAAAGACTTGCGGAGAAGCACAAAAGAACCAATCAAGATGGCGTAACCCACGATGGTAGTCACGGCGGGACCGCTCCACGCGTCGTAAACAAACGCCAACGCCGTGTATGGCGTGTAAAACGAAAAGTACAAGCCCAAGTATAAAGTGGCCGTTCTGGACGCTGGAAGCACCGCTGACGCGGCGAAAAACGACGCAATTGCCGCCAAAGCGACCCAAAGCGTTTTGGAGGACCGGCTACTGTGGGCAGACAGCGCCTCCAGGTTGACCAAAAGGCCTCCACACGCCAGAAAGAAAAGCGCCTGGAAAATCAGCACCAAAACACGTAGAAACCAGCAAGAAGCCGTATGCGGCGCCTCGTGGGCCACCACAAGCCGTCCCGTAATGATAAGCACCGGGAACGCCGCCAAAACAGGCAAGGTGCTTTGGAAAGCTTCTGTTCTCGACTGGAACGGTCTTTCTGGTGACTTTGACGGGCTTGGCGTGGACCGATTTTGCTCAAATTTCGCAGGGAGCCCCAGCGGGATCGTGCCGAGCGGCGGACGTGTTTCGGGCGTCCCCCACGCCGGCGTTGGTGTGTTCATTCAAAGAAGGTGTAGTTGAGGTGGTGATATTTGGCTGGGGCTTATGGGCAGGACGTGTCTCGTGGGTGTATTCAAGGTGACGAGGTGGATTGATCAGGTTTTAATTGATTGTTTTTGGGGTTTTGGGAGGAGAGGTTTTGGATTTGGTTTTTGTTTTTGTAGATTTTGGGTGGGTTGCTGGGTTGCGTGTTGGAAATGGCTGCAAAATATCATGCTCACTGGAATGTGAAGATACACCGTGGAATGTGGCTATCTGGGGTGGGAGAGAGAGGAAAGGGTGTTTTTGGGAGATGTTGGAGGAGAATTACAGAAAGATAAAATAGAGTTCAGTTGATGTGACAGAAAGAAAGGTGTCGTCTAGCGCTGGATGCATGTGTAGAATCAGCCTCACTTCTATAATAAGAAGTCGACGAACAGTTGGAGGTTTTCGAGGATAGTTTAGAAATGGAGAAATGGAAAGTAACAGTTGCTCTGAAAATTTGTGATTTCCCGAATTGTGTCTGGGATGGTGAATGATATGTGAAACCTTGGTGGTGATCACACTGTTTCGATTTTGGGGCACTGGATGGAATTGAAAGATAGTTACAGCAGACTTAGAATTCCAGAAAACGAAACTCACTTGCTCAGACTAAGTATTTTGATATTTCACTGACGTCAAAGATTGTCGGCAAAATACTTGCCATTATACTCTTCCAACCAGACTTGAGGCGCTAAATGGGAGCTCAAAGCTTGTCGAGACAGAAAACGGAACAAGGAAGTTGAAAATTCCGGAGAAAAAAAAAAAGAGAGAAAACATCAAAAATAAAATTCGAAAAGGTATGACTTTTGTGGAAGATTCTTCATGCACACTTCTACGCTGTAGATGCACAGAACGGACCACTGGAACTCGTAGTATTCCAAAGCCAAGCACATTTGAAAATTTCATGAAGAACGTCTCAAAACATACAAGCATCAAGAAAAAATTCAATTGAGTGTAAACCTCACCAAATTGCCGTCAGACACATCTGTCCGATGGGTCGATGAATACAGGGAGACGGAAAACTGACCTGAGTGTCTCGTGAAATCGAGAATAATAAGACCTTTTTGGAGGTTATTCTATAGAATTGTCATTTTTCTTCTCTAATAAAGAGAAAGCAGTCAAAAAAATAAAAATGTTGCAAACTACCGTCTATCCTATACCAATAGCTAGTGCACCTTCGCTATGGGACCTGATTTCGCAGCCACCTGATACAACCACATACCACCAATTCCCCCGTACACTGAATCAAAAAGCATGAAAAGCTTATAATTTTCAAAGCCTCCATAATCCATTCACCCTAAATCCCCAAAATTCCAAATCCCTAACCAAATCCATTAAACCCTAACCTAATCCAGTTTACCCACCACTTCCTCATTTCGCAGCCATTCACCATACTCAAACAACCCCACCAAAATCAACGAAAACCACAAAAATCCACAATTCCAAAAACACCATCCCCAAAACCCACCCAAAATACCCCCATCCACGCCATCTCCCCCCAAAATCCACCCCTCCAGTCCAGGTCGTGTGCGCACCAGTGGCAACCACAGATCGCTCACCTCCACCTTAAACCTCCAACAACTAACCTACTACAAAAAACATGGCCACACTTGAGGAATTGGAGCAGGACGAGCTCATCGATCAAGAGATCGCGCTGTCGCTGACGCAAGACATTGCCAACAGAACAAAACTTCTCCACAACGACATTTCAGTGATGTTCTCAGAAAGCCAGAGACTCAGTCACGAAAAGGCTGTCATGGCTGAACGCATCAAGGACAACCAGGAGAAGATCAACAACAACAAACAGCTTCCGTACTTGGTGGGCAACGTGGTGGAGCTCTTGGATCTTAATGCCGAGAAGGAGGCGCTAGAACAGGGTGGGAACTTGGATGTGGATGCTGCTAGACTGGGCAAATCGGCCGTGATCAAGACCAGTACGCGGCAGACGATCTTTTTGCCGCTCATTGGGTTGGTGGATCCGGCAAACTTGAAGCCCAACGACTTGATTGGCGTCAACAAGGACTCGTACCTCATTTTGGACCTTTTACCTTCCGAGTACGACTCGAGAGTCAAGGCCATGGAGGTCGACGAGAAGCCCACGGAGGACTACTCCGACATTGGTGGCTTGGACAAGCAGATCGAGGAGTTGATCGAGGCCGTGGTGTTGCCCATGAAGCAGGCTGAGAAGTTCAAGGCCTTGGGCGTGAAACCACCCAAAGGTGCGTTGATGTACGGCCCTCCCGGTACCGGTAAGACGCTTCTTGCGCGTGCCTGTGCCGCCCAGTCGGGCGCTACGTTCTTGAAGTTGGCTGCTCCGCAATTGGTGCAGATGTTCATTGGTGACGGTGCCAAGTTGGTGAGAGATGCGTTCGCCTTGGCCAAGGAGAAGGCGCCTACGATTATCTTCATCGACGAGTTGGATGCCATTGGAACCAAGCGTTTCGACTCGGACAAGTCCGGTGACCGTGAGGTGCAGCGTACCATGTTGGAGCTCTTGAACCAGTTGGACGGTTTCGGCTCCGACGACAGAGTCAAGGTGCTTGCCGCCACCAACAGAGTCGACACATTGGACCCTGCGTTGTTGCGTTCGGGCCGTTTGGACCGTAAGATCGAGTTCCCCTTGCCCTCCGAGGAGGCCCGTGAGTCTGTGCTCAAGATCCACGCCAGAAAGCTCAACTGCGACCACAACCTGATCAACTGGCGTGAATTGGCCCGTTCGACCGACGAGTTCAACGGTGCCCAGCTCAAGGCCGTCACCGTCGAGGCCGGCATGATCGCCTTGAGAAACGGCAAGTCTGTCATCAAGCACGAGGACTTTGTCGAGGCCATTGGCGAGGTCCAGGCCCGTAAGTCCAAGCTGGTCAACTTCTACGCATAAAACAGGGGGAATTCGTTCGTCATCCATACATTAACTATTTGGGGACCTTCTTGAGCTCCTCACGGAGCTTGTCGGTGAAGTCGTCCTTGGCGTCGTCGTCATCCCAGTCCTCCTCCCAGAGGTTGGCTGAGTTGAGCTGAGGGTTGGGCTCCGAGCTCCACTGCGAGTCTTCGGGGAAGTCCTCAAACTCGTCGTCCTCCTCGAGTGTTTTGATGATCTTTCCTTCTTCTGTGGTGGACATGCTGGTGGTGCTACCGCGCTGACAAGCGTTTAGCTCTTGCCACCTGGTGCGCGCACGACCGGGGTAGCCATGAGCACATCAGCAGAAAGCTCTGGAAGAAGACGAAAATTGTCAATTGCCAAGGAGGTTTTGCCAAGTGATGGGATCCCTTCGATTGATCTTTGCTTGAGCGATATTCGCAGAAGTTGTCGTTGCTTGCTGTGTGAGCAGCGGTAGCTAGAAATGGCTGCGAAACGAGTGAGAGGTGGTCCGTTGCCCTAAATAGTGCAAAAACATCATTCATGATGGGAGTGTAGGTGTAGGAGGTACAATTGCAATTTGACAATTTGTCAGTTTGCTGAAGATCTTGATTGTGGCTTTTTGTGGTATGATGAAAACTAGGTATAAATCAATGAGGCAGTGATAGAGGACATGGGTTACATGATCTAGAGAGGTCTTGTCAACTTAAATCTTTTTTTATTGTTTTGTTGAATTTCTCACAATTTCTACTTATAAATGGGAATTGAGATATAAGAGGTATTTTTTGGTAACGACTGCCCATGAGGTAATCCAAGGCTTTTCACCATAATCCATCCATTCCCCACCATATAGAGAAAAGGGTTACTTTCACGAACCTCGTGATTTTCACAATTCCATACTTCCAAATACACAAATATAAGAAAATAACGCAAAACCAGAATATGAGTCAGAATTCCATTTCACAGTACGACATAGTCCACTGAAAGAGGGTCCATCTCAGCTACCAAAGCCCGCCAACAAAAAAGCAATTGAACCCCCAAATGAACCCAATCCTATAAAAGCCGACCCATTCCCCAATTATTCAAAAAAATCTTACTTTTTTACTCCTCTTCCTTCATCTTTGGTCCACCCCACAGAAATGACTAAACGTGCATGCGAACCCTAATTCACCCTAACCACACAATCGCCACCCCCGAACTTCAAAAACATCAAGCAATCGAAAAAAAAAAGAAGATTAAATAAAAAAGAGGAAAAATAACAACCACCTCAAAAATATCAAACCCCTTACCGAAAAAACCCCCATAAACTTCGTCCCACCAGGCCGCCTCCTGCACTTCCTCATCATCATCATCGCAAAATTTCCAGATCAACTCCCACCATGAAAGACGTTGTCGTGGATGTGGCGCCCAAATGCATCAAGGGCCTCGAATTCAGTGCTCTTTCGGCGTCGGAGATCGTGGCCCAGTCCGAGGCCGAGGTCACCACTCGTGATCTCTACGACCTAGAAAAGGGCAGACAGGTGAAGGAAAACGGTGCTTTGGATACACGGATGGGTACTTCGCTGAACGCCGTGGAGTGTGCCACGTGTCACGGGAACTTGGCGTCTTGCCACGGCCACTTTGGCCATGTGCGTTTGGCGCTTCCTGTGTTTCATGTTGGTTTTTTCAAGCAGATCATCAGGGTGCTCCAGTGCATCTGTAAGCTGTGTGGGCTGGTTTTGTTGGACGAACACACGAAAAGGCGGTTTTTGGGCGAGTTGAGGAGACCCAACATCGACAATCTCCGCCGGATGAAGATCTTGGCCAAGGTCGTGGAGCAGTGCAAGAAACAGAGACGTTGTTTGGCGTGTAATCACGTTAACGGTGTGGTGAAGAAAGCAGCCAGTGGTGCCGGCCCAGCGGCTCTCAAGATCGTCCATGACACGTTTCGCTTTATCGGCAAGAAGCCCACGCCCGAGAAGGAGTTCTGGGAAAAGGAGTTTGACGAGGTTTTCATGAGAAACCCGGAACTCGAGAAATTCGCCAAAAGGGTCCATGAAGACTTGAACCCGCTCAAGGTTTTGAACCTCTTCAAGCAGATCTCGCCGCTCGACTGTGAGCTTTTCGGCATCGACGCCTCCCGAGGCGGCCGTCCGGAAACATACATCTGGAGGTACCTCCCTGCTCCTCCTGTTTGCATACGACCTTCAGTCATGATGGACGCCCAGCTGAACGAGGACGACTTGACGGTGAAATTGACCGAGATCGTGTGGACGTCGTCGCTCATCAAGGCGGGCATCGAAAAGGGCATTTCCATCAACAACATGATGGAGCAGTGGGACTATCTCCAGCTTTCGGTGGCCATGTACATCAACTCGGATGCGGCCAACCCGGCGCTTCTTCCGGGCAACATGGGCCTGGGGTCCAAGAGCTCGAAGCCGATCCGTGGTTTTTGCCAGAGATTGAAGGGTAAGCAGGGCCGGTTCCGTGGTAATCTTTCCGGTAAGCGAGTGGACTTTTCTGGTCGTACGGTGATTTCGCCTGATCCCAATTTGAAAATCGACGAAGTTGCCGTCCCCGACAGAGTGGCCAAGATCTTGACGTACCCGGAAAAATGTACCCGCTACAACCGCCAAAAACTCCAGAAATTGATCTTGAACGGTCCCAACGTGCATCCTGGCGCCAACTACGTTTTGAAGCAGAACGAGGCGGCCAAGCGGAATTTGAAATTCGGCGACCGGGTGAAACTCGCCAAAAACTTGAGAATCGGCGATGTCGTCGAACGTCACATTGAGGACGGCGATGTGGTGCTCTTCAACAGACAGCCTTCCTTGCACAGACTCTCCATTTTGTCCCACTACGCCAAAATCAGGCCCTGGCGAACCTTCAGACTCAACGAATGTGTGTGTACTCCGTACAATGCCGATTTCGACGGTGACGAGATGAATTTGCATGTTCCTCAGACCGAGGAGGCCCGAGCCGAGGCCATCAACCTTATGGGTGTGAAAAACAACCTTTTGACGCCCAAATCCGGTGAACCCATTATCGCTGCCACCCAGGATTTCATCACTGGATCGTACATTATCTCCCACAAGGACTCATTTTTTGATAGAGCCTCTTTGGTGCAGCTCTTGTCGATGATGTCCGATGCCGATTTGCAGTTTGACCTTCCTCCACCGGCCATCTTCAAGCCCGTGGCTCTTTGGACAGGAAAACAGGTGTTTTCGCTTTTGATCAAGCCCAACCGGAAGTCCAAGGTGGTGATCAACGTGGACGCCAAAAACAAGACCTTCCATCCGCCCGCCAAGGGCTTGCCCAGTGAAATGTCGCCCAACGACGGTTTTGTCGTCATCAGAGGATCCCAGATTTTGAGTGGTGTCATGGACAAATCCACCTTGGGTGACGGTAAGAAGCACTCGGTGTTTTACACGATTCTCCGTGACTACGGTCCCGACGAAGCCGCCGATGCCATGAACAGAATGGCCAAGCTCTGTGCCAGATTCTTGGGAAACCACGGTTTCTCCATTGGTATCAACGACGTCACGCCAGGTTACGAATTGAAGACCAAAAAAGAAGATATGGTTGAATCCGCATACGCCAAGTGTGACGAGCTCATTGATCTCTACAACAGAGGCAAGTTGGAGACACAGCCGGGCTGTAACGAGGAACAGACGCTTGAGGCGAAGATCTCTGGTTTGCTTTCCAAGGTTCGTGAAGAGGTTGGTGATGTTTGCATTCGAGAACTCGATTCGCTCAACTCGCCGTTGATCATGGCCACCTGTGGCTCCAAGGGTTCCACCTTGAACGTTTCCCAGATGGTGGCTGTTGTTGGACAGCAGATTATTTCCGGAAATCGTGTGCCCGATGGGTTCCAGGACAGATCGTTGCCTCATTTCACGAAAATGTCGAAAACGCCGCAGTCCAAGGGTTTCGTGAGAAACTCCTTCTTCAGCGGCTTGAGTCCTCCGGAGTTCTTGTTCCACGCCATTTCCGGAAGAGAAGGTTTGGTTGATACTGCCGTGAAAACCGCTGAAACAGGTTACATGTCCAGACGTCTCATGAAGTCGCTTGAGGATTTGTCTGCTTCCTACGATAACACCGTTCGTAACTCGTCCAATGGTATTGTTCAGTTCACGTATGGTGGAGACGGCTTGGATCCTTTGGATATGGAAGGTGACGCTCAGCCTGTCAACTTCAACAGACAGTGGGACCACGCTTTCAACGTGACGTTCCAGATCGCCGACAAGAGCTTGAAGCCGTACGAGATCATGGATGTCGTGGAAAAGGTGCTCCAGCCTTTGGAGCAGAAACTCGTCAGATACGACAATTTGGGCAAGTTGGTGGAAGGCGACATCGGCGACCGTGTGGAGTACATTGACCAGAAGGACGCCGAAAGGTCTTTCTACAGATCGCTCCGTGAGTACGTCTTCAAGAAGGCCTCTCAGCTTGCACAATTCAGAGAAAACAGACACCTCCGTCCGTACCTCACCAAACGGTCTGAGGACGACGAAATGGAGCTTGAGGAGGACGCCTCGTCCACCAACGCCGTGAACCAGTTGCTCAAAATCTCCGAAAAGTGTGTGGTGGAGTTTTTGAACCAGTGCTTCTACAAGTACAAGCGAGCCAAGGTGGAGCCTGGTACCGCTGTGGGAGCCATTGGAGCCCATTCTATCGGTGAGCCAGGTACCCAGATGACATTGAAGACTTTCCATTTTGCCGGTGTGGCGTCCATGAACGTCACGTTGGGTGTGCCTCGTATCAAGGAGATTATCAACGCCGCCAAGGTCATTTCTACTCCAATTATCAATTCTGTCTTGGTCAATGACGACGACGAGGTTGCTGCTCGTGTGGTAAAAGGCAGAATCGAAAAAACGTTGCTTCGTGACGTTGCCTTCTACATCGAGGACGTCTACAAGAACGACATGGCTTTCTTGTCGATCAAGATCGATTTGCGTACGATCGAGAAGCTCCAGTTGGAATTGACCTTGGAGAACATCCGCCAGGCCATCGCTGCCGCTCCAAGACTCAAGATCCTCAACAAC